GGCTCAGTGGTTAGCACTGCTGCCACACAGTGCCAGAGACCCCGGTTCAATTTCGCCCTCAGGCAACTGTGAAGTGTGCACATTCTCCCCACATCTGCATGGGTTTCCTCCAGGTGCACCAGTTTCCTCCCACAGTCCAAAGATGTGCAGGTTTCGTGGATTGGCCATGCTAAATTGCCCATAGTGTTCAGGGATGTGCAGGCTAGGTGGGTTAGCCGTGAGAAATGCAGGGAAATTCAGGGGACTCAATGGGCCAAATGGCCTGCTTCCACACGAAGGATTCTATGATTCTATGCTTGCACTGTTGAGATCAGAGGACAATAGTGAATCTGTTGGTTGACTGCTTGTGATAATTCATTAAATGTAGATAAAGGAATACTGTTTAGATTGTGACCTCTGGATCAGGTTAGTCAGTCAATGTAGTTAGTCTAATGCTTAACTATGGTGTCCCATTCATTAGTGCATGCCTACATTAAGGTAGTACTTATAAAGCTAAAAGGCATTTAAGCATGACACGTGTGTTTTTGACAATGAAGGATCTGAGGATCAAAATAACAGATAATGAACATTTTTGACGTGCTACCAAAAGAATATATTTAAAGAATAAAGCTGTGGGACACCCAGTTGGGAATGCTGGTGAACAGTTAAATTGGAGGAAGAAGAGGCATCCCTCGGTAATGGCAGAGACTAGCAGTTGAGGGTAAAAGACAAGGTTGATGTGTTTGCAATAATTGTCATCTAGTTGTACTGACTGCAGATCAAGAAGCTCAAACGTGACAAGGAGCAAGTGCTAACTTCAGAATTTGGTGCAGATGGGAATTCTATGTGGAGGTGGAAGGAAATACTACATTTTGTATATTTTTTTCAGCCTCCAGAAGCTGATGACTTTTGCAAGTCATTAACTAGGTGAGCAGATAAATCATTAACTGGTGAGATTTTAAGAATTTATCTCTCTGAATACGAGCAGTCATTTAAACTGGAAGTGGAGAGATGTAAATTCTGAGACAGCAGGAACTGCAGAAGGGTCTAGGCCCGAAACGTCAGCCTTCCTGCTCCTCTGATGCTGCTTGGCCTGCTGTGTTCATCCAGCTCTGCACCTTGTTATTTCAGATGTAAATTCTCGAATTGCTTAAAATTTATGACTTAACAAATTAAACTAATCAATGTAATAACAGACAATGGTTGAGTAATATTTCTCAACTTGAAACCAAATTAGTGAGATGAAACACAATAAAGATGATGGAGCAGATGATGTGTTGCAGCTGTAGCATGTGGGTGATGTTGGACATTCGTCTGATACATAGTGATGAGAGGTGTAGTGAATGCCTGCAGCTCACACTACTTGGCTCAGAGCTAGTGAGCTAGAGTCAAAGCTTTGAAAACTGAGATGGCAACCAGAACATTACCTGGTCACGTGAACACTTTGTTCCAGGCAGCAGTCATAGAACATACATCATAGAGCATACAGCAAAGGAACAGGCCCTTCGGCCTGCCATGACCATGCATATGATTCATTTCCTTCTATTCCCTGCCTGTTCTTATGGCTAAATGCCTCAAATATCTGCTTCTATCACCTCCCCTGGAAGTGCATTCCAGGGACCTACCACCCTATGTGGAAAAAAAATTGCCTCACACATCTCCTTTAACTTTCCCCTCTCATCTTAAACCTATATTCCCCTAGTATTTCACATTTCCGCTCTAGGAAAGGGGCTCTGACTATCCGCTGTATCCATGCTGTCACAATTTTATATACTTCAATCAGGTCACCCCTCGGCCTCTGAAACTGTGGCGATATCCAACCTCTTCTTCAAGCTAATGCACTCAAATCCAGGCAATATCCTGGTAAACCTCTTCTGTACCCTCTCCAAAGTTTCCAAGTCCTTCCTATACTTTCACGACCAGAACTGCACTCAACATTCAAAATGTGGCCTAACTAAAGTCGCGTACATTTGCAACATGATTTGCCAACTTTTATTCTTCATGCCCTGACTAATTAAGGTAGGAATGTCATACACCTCCTTTATCACCTTATCCACTTGTGTTGCCTACGATCAGGGAACTTTGGACTTGCTTACACACCTGTTCCTCTATCTCCTGCTGGCTACTGGGAACCTATAGTATAACCCATCATATCGATTGCACCTTTCTTATTCCTGAGTTGTATCCATATGGCTTCGCTGGATGAACTCTCCAAAATGTCCTTTCTTAGTGCAGCTGCAACTTTCTCCTTAATCAGCAATACTGCACCCCAACCCCTTTCATATCCATCTCCATCACACCTGAAATGTTTAAACCCTGGTTACAACATCGTAGTTGTACGTTCTGATCCAGGCTGTAAGCTCATCTGTCTTAGCTGTTATACTCCTTGCATCAAAAAAAACAATTCAGACTGTCAATCCCACAGTGTTCATTAAGCTGGGCCTGCCTGTTCTTTCTAATAGATTTACTTAGCCTCTACCTTCTCCTCAATCAGTCCACATGCTGACCTACTGTTCGAGTTCCCATCCCTCTGCCACACTATTTTAAACTCTCTGAGTGGCACTAGCAAACCTCGCTACCAGAATATTGGTGCCCCTCCAGTTTAGGGGCAACCCATCCTTCTTGTACAGATCCTTCACGTTGGAAGAGATCCCAATCATCCACATACCCAAAGCCTTACCTCCTACGCTATCTCTTTAGCCATGTATTTAACTGCTTTACTTCCTATTTCTAGCTACACTAGCACATGGCATAGAGAGTAATCCCGAGACTACAACTCTAGTGGTCCTGCTTTTCAATTTCCGACTTAACTTCCTGAACTCCCTTTGTAGGACCTCATCTCTCTCTTACTCCCTATGTCATTGGTATCAGTTATGGATCATAACCTCTGGCTGCTCACCCTCCCTTTTCAGAATATCCTGTGTCCCCTCAGAAACGTCCTTGATCCTGGCAGCAGGGAGGCAACACTGAAGTCTCACTCACCTTCATACTAACACCTATCTGTGCCCCTGACCATAGAGTCCCCTATCACAACTGCTCACCTACATTTCAACCCTCCCTGCTGTAAAACAGAGCCAGATGTGGAACCACTGATCTGGCTGCTGCAGTTGCTTTCCTCTGAAAGGCCATTCCTAATCAGTATCCAAAATACTATACTTGTTTGAGAGGGGAATAGCCACAGGGGATTCCTGCACTGCCTATCTACCTGCCCCTCCTGACAGTCACCCATCTATTTGGTGTCACAACATCCCTGAAACTTCTATCGATAAAACTTTCTGCCTCCTGTATACCCGAGTGAGTCCAGCTGCCACTCCAGTTGATCCATGCAGCCGGACACACTTCCCACAGACGTATTTGTCAGGGAGATTTGACTTCTCCCTGATCTCCCACATCTCACAGGAGGAACATACCATTCCACTAACTGCCTTTATCACCCCTCTAGTAACCACTGGATTAAAAGAAAAGACCTTAGCTTGCCGTACCTTAGTGCTCCTCGCCCTCCCCAAAGCCTGACACTGTGTGAAGTACAAAGCCTGACACTCACCAAAGCCTGCACCTTGACCTCACAGCCCCTCAGTGAGAGGGACATAGCACACATGGGTATGAACAATTTAGATAAAGTAAGTCAGAAGTTCTGTTGAGAACAGCTAATGACCAAATTACAAAACAGAACCATGAAGGTAATAATCTCTAGATTACTACCTGAACCATGAACAAATTGGCATAGGGTAAATGAGATCAAAGAGTTAAATATGTTCCTCAGAGAATAGCTTGGGTGAAATGAGTTTCAATTCAAGAGGCACTGGCAGTGAGTGACCGGGGAGACATCTGTAATGAGGGAAAATTTGGAAAGTTACAGAGTAGGCACTAGGCAATAATGCAAGAAAGTAATCTGGGCATTAGTAACCAGACTTACAGGAGGGGACAGCGTGTACAAATATAAGAGTGAAGTAGCAAGTGTGGCCAGACTGGGAAAAATTGGCAATCAACTGAGAAATGAGGAGTAGGGTTCAGGTGAAGAGAAACCTAAAAATCCAAAAATGAGGGATATGGGGAACAGGCAGGAAAGTGGAGTCAAGCCCACAACCATCCATGATCACGTTGAATTGTGGAGCAGTCTTGGCAGGGTGGTATGGTCGACTGTTGCTCCTATGTTCTTATCCAACTTTGGGCCAAATGGGTTAATTCAGCTCCTATATCCTACGGTCTTGCGGTATTCTCCGGAGGTGCCAAGCAAGATGCCCGTCTTCAGCCAATTTGATTCACTCCACATAAATTCATTGTATGCTGGAAACAGCATAAAATATACAACATTTTGATTGTAGATCTGAAAACACTTGCTTCAGAACTAGCCACATCCACCGTCGAGCTGTTCCAGTACAGGTACAACACTGGTATTGACTCGAGTATGTGGAGAATTCTCCATGCATGTTCTGTCCATGAAAAGCAGGACAGATCTAGTCTGACCAATTAGCATCTCATCAGCCTACTCTGACTTATTAGCAAAGTGATACTTCCCATCATTGATAGTTCTATCAAACAGGACCCAGTAATAACCTACTCATTGGTTCACAGTTTGGGTTCTAAGCTCCAGAATATGGTCCAAACATGGACAAAAGAGTTGGATTCCAGGTGCAACGTTAGAGTGACTGCTTTTGCCATCAATGTAGCATTTGACTGTGTGTGATATCAGGAGATAGCAGTCTCTCTGCTGGGAGTCCTTGCTCTGAGTCACAATAGTGCAAGCAGTGGTTGGAGGCTGCAATTACAATGTAAAACCTTTATAGGGAGTAATGCCATTATAAATGTGGATAAATGCATTTATAATTGAAAATGTTGATTCAAAAGCATGGTCGGAATTTTGCGATAAAACCAAAATCTACTATGGAGGAAATATTAATAGAGATAATATCAGATAAGTTGATATTGAAGTTTTTGTGTACACCGTGTTATAATTATAACATACGGCACTGTTCTAACAAGTGTTCACAGTGTATTTTTTTTTTTAATTCTTGTTGCAGTCAATACTGGATCACATGCACCTGAAATGTAAATGTCATGGTTTGTCTGGGAGCTGTGAAGTGAAGACCTGTTGGTGGGCGCAGCCAGATTTCCGGGTCATTGGGGACTATCTGAAGGACAAATATGACAGCGCCTCCGAGATGGTGGTGGAGAAGCACAGAGAGTCCCGGGGTTGGGTAGAAACCCTTCGTGCAAAATATGAGCTGTTTAAGCCCCCAACTGAGCGAGACCTTGTCTACTATGAAAACTCACCAAACTTTTGCGAGCCGAATGCTGAGACAGGATCCTTTGGGACCAGGGACAGGATCTGCAATGTCACCTCCCACGGGATTGATGGCTGTGATTTGCTCTGCTGTGGCCGTGGACATAACACCAGGACGGAGAAACGCAAGGAAAAATGTCATTGCATATTCCACTGGTGCTGCTACGTCAGTTGCCAGGAATGCATTCGAGTGTACGATGTACATACGTGCAAATAACAGGACACACAAACACAAGTAAGATCACACAATCTGGAACCTTCCAGTTATTGTTGGGGCAAAACAAAAATGGCGCACTTTACTGTGCATGTACATTGCAGAAATGACTTCTGGGAAATGTAGTCTTTTCACCAATCTATTCAATTTCTCTTTGGAGCTTCATAAAAAATCATAGTCTGAACCAAAAAAATGCTATGTTGGGATGATTTACTCTCAATTTGAAATTACAGATTTTCATTTATAATGATTGATGAAAAAATAAGCAAAAAATTTCCTAAAATTGCCTAAAATCCCAAGCTTTCCACTGGTACAACAATTTGTTTTTAGTTTTCTACTGTTGCCAGTGTTGTTGGGGTCAATCAAAATGGCAACCTGCTCAATAGATAGTGAGGGAATGGAAGAATTCCCCAGCACTGTCAATATTTTGCTGGATCCCCAGTTGCAACTGGGTTGCCTTAGGCATCCCATCCCAGAACTGACAAATAAATGCAAATTCCATTGGCATATGATCTTCCCATGGTTTCAGACTTGCCACTGGGGCAGAGGTGAAAGAAAGGATGGTACCACTATAGTATTTATAAATGACATATACATTATGTAAATTTTCAGAGAGTTAACATCAGAAGTGTCAATAGGACTTTCTGGAAGCTCTAGAGAGTGGGGTCCATAAAGGATGCTGATTGTTAGACATTTCTACAGTAATGACATTTGAAGATATGTTTTAAAAAAAAGTCTCCCTAATTTAATCAAAGAACTTTTACCTTTTTAATTGTCAAAGATATATGCATTCATATATTTGTCTAAATAACAACAAACCACTTCAGGATGGCAAGTATTTGAGATTAAGTTTCAAAACTTGTAATCCTGAGGATAATGCATCTTTAAGTCAGCCCCAAATTAGTTTGATTTGCAACATTGAATCCTAAAGTAATTTGTCCATTTCTGAAATTATACCCCTTCAAACATGAGAGTAAAGACTACAACCCCCAGAATCCTTTGCATACCACAACGGCCCACGTGACTTCAGTTGGCTGCAGATACAAGCTGTGATATTAACATTAAGAACAGCTTAAGTCTTCCAGCCTGATGTTTATTCCATCCTCACATCCCAATAACAAAACTTCCTGTTTTTTAAGAATGATGACTGTATCACACGTCACAACTGATGTTAGTATTAATGCTACCTGCAATTCTCATCTCCCAATCACACTTTATCAAAATGATTGAATATTGAGGTTTGAGTGGATCTGGTGGCTATATGCAGTTGTTATGGATATGACTTCCTCCTTACAGGGACCTTGATCCACCACCTACTTAAGAGTAATTTTACTTACATACAATGTGCCTTCTTTCTGTGAAAGAAAAAAAAGAGATGGGATAAGTTAAAGAAGCAAGGTGGGAATTCATTGTTAAGCCCCATGGACACCTTTCCCAGAATGAGTGAGTAGTTAGTTCAAGCAAAGGGCGTTGACATCCTGTGCTCTAAAAATTAATCAAAAGCCTGCAGTATTTATCGTAGTATTTTTCTACCTTGTAGCCCAGAATTACTAGCTCCAAGTTGAACCTGTATTGCAAGTTGCTATATCCAAAGTTTTGTACAAATTAGATGTTTGACCCTTTGATTTTATATTCTTAAAGCCTATGTTTTTATAATTATTTATTGCACAGTGTGTATATATATGACTCAACTGAGATTATATATTTGCAGAAAGTGTCTTATCTGCTGTTTCTAGTTTATAAACTTGCCACGGTGGCTTAAAGGCAGCGTGAGCTACATTTACTATCATGCTTCACAGTGCAGGATTCACAGGCAGCTCTCTAGAAGCGGATGTTAAATGTATAACCTCTCCTGTCAGTGTACATATTCCTCTCTTAGTCTTAGAAATAGCTACCAACAAAGAAATAAAATTTATTCATGTAGTGTACACTGGTGTGTTGTTCTTTCTTACCTGAGAACTCATGTTCACTGATTATGATTTTAAGTCTCTTCTTTCGCTGCTCTGCTTCTGCAAAGGTTAATTCTCATGATTATACAGTACTACTGCTACTGAAGATGCCTTTTGCATGAGCCAGACGGTGAGTCTGAGTGAGTTATTTGACCATGGGAGCTCAGCCTCATCTATTCCTCATCTGACCCCCACACGCACGTTATCAATGTGTCACAAAAGAAACAGCAAACTGGATTGGGATCATGATTGAAGTTTATTTCCGATGTAAACAACCCTGTCAAAATAGTACCTACTGCATGACCATATTTTCACCGAGTACATGAAGTTAGACAAGTAGTGTGGGATTGGAGTCACAGGTAAACTGGATTAGATAATTCCCTGAAAAGACATTGTGAAACAAGTTTAAATTTTATAATAATGTGGAAATTTCTACCACTGGACTGTAGACCCATCATGATTTTAACATCTTTAGGGAAAGGTCAGCCAATTCCTTAAAGAATTGCAGAATCCTGACAATGTGGAAACAGGCCCTTTGGGCCAACAAGTCCACACTGACACTCAGAGCATCCTGCACAGACCCATTCCCCTATAACCCACCTAATCTACACATCCCTGAGCACTATGGGCAATTTAGCACGGCCAATCTACCTAACCTGCACATCTTTGGACTGTGTGAGGAAACCAGAGCACCCAGAGAAAACCCACGCAGACACAGGGAGAATGTGCAAACTCCACACAGACAGTCGCCCAAGGGTGGAATTGAACCTGGGTCTCTGGTGGTGTAAGGCAGCAGTGCTAACCACTGACCCACCATGCTGCCTCATTTAAGTCTGTTCCACACTGCTGATGTCTGGGTCATAATGACTAGGCATATAGCCTTCTGGGTAAAAGGTGAAGGACAGAGTTAGATTGCAGGATCATGTGGTGGGGTTGGGGAAAACAAATAAATCTCTGGAAAAGTCCCAAGGCAGTGTGGATACTGATGTTTAATTGGCCTTCCTGCAGCAGGTAGAGTTAGTAAATGTGGATCATATCCTTCCCACCAATAACACTTTGACACTCACTAAAAGGTAGTATCCAACTATGCAATGGTTCGATTATTCCTTCCTCAAAAAGGAAATCAATTCTCAGGTATTACTGTAGCCCACAGCTAGTAATAGTCAAGGTGCTGTGGTCTTACCAGATCGTAGGGCTGCTCTCTTATTAGGTTGAATCATTCCCAGTCTCTCTCTGAGGGCCATCATACCTAGGCGAGTGGAGAAGTTGAGAAGGAGAATCCTTCATGGTAACCTCAACTAGCATGGGGATTGAACCCACGCTATTGGCATTACACTGCTTCACAAACCAACTGTCCAGCCAACTGAGCTAAAATGACTCCTATGATTGACTTGGCCTATGGTGTATGCCACTTCTGGATTGAGCATAGTCTGTTGTGTCTGGAGAGACTGATTCATGAGTGGGTAATCCCTTTCACAGCTGGGACAGATGAATAGCATCGACGTAAGGTTTTTGATGTGCTTTTTAATTCCCTATCTAGCTGATTTTTCGTCCTGTTTTTCCTATGACCTTCCTGGCTGCTTGTCTCCAGGCGCTCCCATACCTCGAATCCAGACCCAGTCAACATCAGCTCTCTACTGCAGACATTCATGCATAGCAAATGTGGGCAAGCTGTTGTTCTTGTGCTAATATTGAACTCACCATAGAGCACACCTTTACAGATGTGGCCATAATCCATTTGTAACATAGGATCCAATTGACAGTTGTCACTGACTCAAAAGGGCAAACCTACTGGGGTCCCAGCACAATGGTATATTTCAATGTTCAGCACCTTGTCTTGCCAGGAGATGCCTTATATTCTTCTGAAACAGGAGAAGTGGAAGCTTTTCAGCCACTTCATTTGCTTAAGTTGTTCATATCTTGCTGTTTTCAAGATGAGTTCTGAGGACACAAGCCTAGTCCACATGGAACTTTATACTTCAAATTACTCTGCTGTTGGTCTACACAACATCAACTTTGGCAATTTTAGTGCAGCTCTTGACATCAAGCAACAGGATGCTGGTGATTGTTGATCCAAGGTACGTGAGATTATCAACAACCTCCAGAGTGCGGTTGTCAGAGTTAAGGGAAGGTGCAGCCTCTATAACGGCAGGGAGAGATTTAGGTACTCAGTGTTCTTTTTTGCAATACTTGTACTGTTGGTTGAGCAAGAGGTGACAAGCAGACTAACCACGCTGTAATATCCAGTACACTAACACAATTAGTGTATCACATCAATTTGAGACTCACAGCTAAGACATGGACATGCTACCAGCTCGGTAGCTGAAATCCGGATTATTTCCCTCCCATTCCCACCAGCTCAAGGATATTAAGGACAATTATGTGCTCAAACTAAGTTTAGCTAACTGAACACACAAATATTAACCCTGTGGTCTTCTTGTTCAGTATTACTCATTCATTAAAGATATAAAATGTTGCTTTTACAAAGCCAGAACAAGTATTGCCAACAACCTCTCATACTAGGTTAGTTTAACAAACCGTGGACCTTCAGAAAGTAGACATTCACTTTAAAAAAAGCAACTTCCTAGCAGCAACATTTTTAGATTGAATTTGAAATAATTCAATGAATGACTGTGGCCAGAAGCCCAGACTTTTTATAATTTACTACAACAAAAATGGGTGCCAGAATGATTCATATGGAGTAGAGCTAACCGTATAATATTTTTCTTTGGCAAATCACAGCGTATGAACTGCTTCCACACTGGAGTATTATGAAATGTGACTAGGAACATTGTACAAACCACTAACGTCCAGCATTGAACTGATAAATTCATGAATCACTCACTGTGGAACTGCTTTGTTTGCTTCAGAGCTTCTATATTTGCTTATTCCTTTAAAGTGCTACAATATATTCCCGACAGCTCACACCCCTTGTTCTTGGCTCACTGATATACTTTTCAGTCTTTCATAATTTGCATTTATGCTGAAGACTAGTCAGGATCCACAGGTGACAATAAAGTTTCAGATTTATCCATATGACTGTGCAAAGGCATGATAGATTTGGTCTGTTACTCATTT